GCTTCAAGAGTGTCATAACTCACAAGACAAGTTGTAATGTTGATTGTGATTGTGCAGTTATTTTGAATTTAGCATTTACCCAGTTTAGAAAAAGAGTATTAGGCCAAGTTTGGGAGTGATTTAAGATAAGTACTTGTTGGCATTTAGGAAATAAGTCATTGCTTATTCTGAGAATAAATGCTTATTTGAGAAACCCATAATTTGAGCTTATTTTTTAAGTGCTTATTCAATCAATAAGCACTTATTCCCTTTCTGACCTGTCTTGGCCCACATGTTATTTTGAGAATACCTATACTATCCCTATTTGAAATGATGTGTTTTTTCACCAAAATGCTTATTTTTCAAATAAGCACTTACAAACTTGGCCTTAAAGGCTTTAGGCGGTGTTTGGTTTTACATTCTACATATTTATATTTATACTCTTTTCAAACTGAGCCATGAGAGAAAATTGGGTAATGCCTCTAAAAAAAAGCAGCAGTGGAGTAACAGGATTCTATTTGTCCCTTTTCTAAATATAGTAATGGGATAGCATATTCCACTAAGGAGAGTTGGATCTTTTTTTTTTTTTTTGTCATGATAATTAACTGCTAAGCGGTGGGACCTCTAGACAATGAAGTTTCATATGGGTACAAAAGATAATGGGCAATTGATGCAAATTTTCAATTTACTAATAACTTGGCTTTGACATTGACATTGTTAATAAGAGTTTGTCTAGATTTTTTATCATGTACTATGTATATATTTGTTATATTTGTTGCATCATGAAGGGAATCACAAATTTATGTATTATCTATATATGCATAGGACTTATACACAAAAATTGGATGCTATTCACAACCTAAAAGCTTACCCCCTTAGATTATGGGCCCTTCCTCATAACTGACATACCCATCTCAGCAACATTTGTATATGTACTATCTATGTATATTGACAAAGAATTTAAATAATGTTAGCATTTTTCTATGGTTTCTAGTACTAATTTATTTGAGAAAATTGGGTCATTATTTGTGGAAATTTTTGGTAGTTTCTCATGTAGGTCTCATGGACTAGGGAAAAATTCTTGCTTTGAGACTCTTTGTGAATTCAAGTTAATTTGTCATGTATAAGCTTCTTTGATATCTAGGGAAGTATATTAAATCAATGTTCAAAGTATTGATATGATTCATATCGGTTGATATGTATCGTGTTAGTGGATTCTCGATATGTTTCTATAGTGGTTGTATGTTGTATCGGATTGGCCACTGGTTCAGAGGATAACCGGGCCTTAAACTGGCCCCTCTGAACCGAGTTTAAAAAAAAGTAAAACATAAAAAAGCACCGGCACAGGTCGATACGCCGGTGTATCAGTTCGTATCGATATTTAAAACCTTATATTAAACTACCAGAAGACCCAACCAATTTGGATTTATTAAGGACAAAAGGTTTTCGTCCACCACCTATTGCTTTGATGATCGCATGGTATTTCTCCCCAGAAGAAAATATGAGGTTCAAAAATGGGGAAAGAGGTTCACTAGCCAGGTCAGGTTGGGAGATTCTCTATATCAATCTGCCTAAAGGGAATTGTGTCTGATCCAGATTGGCCACATGTTGATAACATTGATGTGCCTCGCCTTCTATAGGTGGTTCTAACAACTACTATTAGTCATTTAAAGTGAACAAGAGTGGTATTAGGATGGATGACCTCTTTGGAAGTATGAGTATTGCATTCTTATTTTGTTTATAAAAATATTAACCATTCAAAATCTTATAATTTTATAATATAAAATTTATGGACCTTTTACAGTTTCCACAATGGCAATTGTAGGAATATCAGCGCCCCACATGATGCATCCCGGACCCTATATGCACATCTCAGCGTGCATTGAAAACATCTCCCGTACTTTGCCATTAAGATATGTTCCCAATACATGGTTGGAATGTACTGTGGAGTGCCAATGTTGCAATGTAAACTCGTAGCAACCGAGCCAGTATGTTTGAGATCCCACATTAGGCCTGACTGGTGGAAAACAAATCATGCCAATTCCAATATTTTGAAGTTGGCTTTCTGTTCTGTCCCCCATTTTGAACCTCGTTTTGTTCTTGAAGAAATTCCATGTGATCAATAGAGTCATGGATAGTTGACAAAATTTTATTTCCTCCAAATTAGGGTAGGCCTTTGGGTTGTTTAGTAAGCCAGTGACTAAAAAAATCTTCCACCTGACAAATTGGTTTTGAACTCAGGATTCATTTCCTTATGATGTGTTTTAGCCATCGGTAAAATCTATGGTGCATTATATGGAGATTGCTGCAGTATGGCCGGGTCAAGTTTATGGTGAATCCAAGTCCAACCCTAAGATTTGGCCTAAGGTTTGAGTCAGAGGTCAAACTCGATCTTCTCAACTTGAACCCTACCTGTAGAGTAATTTGAAGCAGTCAGATTGGACTCAGGCCCAGGCTGGGCTTGGGTTGGTGTAAAATTATACATGCATGCATACATTTAAATGCAAATATGTATGTATATGTAAATACATACATACATATGTATATATATATATATATATATATATATATATGTATGTATGTATGCATGTATGAATATATATAGTTGGGCCAGGTTCAGGTTACCTAAGGGCTAGGCCTAAGCCCAACTCAAAAATTAAAAAGCCCAAGGTCTTGGGCCTAAGCTTAGCCCATGTGAAATTTCAGGCTGGATCGGTCTGGGCTTGGATTTGGCACGCCCAATATGCATTTCTAAGTGAAGAAAATAGTGGTAAAGTGACACGTTAGTAATATCTTTAATATTGTTAAAGTCTTTAATGATAATTACACTAATAGGAATCAATAAAAAATAAGTAAACCATGTAAATTAATGTAATTGATTGGAATTTTGATATAATATGCTGTAAAAGTTTTGAAATGCACCATAGTTGAACTCCTAACCATATATGCAAAATAACCCCACTTTTATGGTTTTCCAGCAATATAGATTTATCCATATGACAAATAAAAGGGGGCACACTACATACATGACCATGGTTTTTAAAACCGGACGGAAAATAAAACCATTTTGACCACCAATTTTTTAGTCAAACAGTCTGACCATTAGGTCTAAAACCCGGTTGGATGGTTTTGGGCTCCAAAACTAAACCCAGAGCCATAACTGATTCCCAAATCAACCGGTGGTCTGATTTTCAAAACCATGAACATGACACACGATTGGAGTGTTTTCAGTTTTTCAAACACCTTAACTCATGGTTGTCAAGTTTGCCCAACCTTGACCCAGACCATGATGTGACAGTTCAGTACAGGCTTAGCCTTGCCTACGTTTGGCAGGCTTACGTTAGGGACATGCCCGTCATTTTTGCCTGTAAGATTTTTGGGAGAACTGATGTCATCTTCAGGCAGACCACCAAAAGCTTAACGTACTCTTTGAGGAGGGGTGATCGACCTCCTTGGGTGCCTAACCTTGGCACTCCTAGACCTTCATCCCCTTGCGGGGCGGCCCTGGTTAACGGCTAGCATGGCTACCAGGGTTCCTCATGGGTGCACACTTGCTCATGGGGACAGTGTTGGACCGGCACTGCGCTACCGATACTCAAGGGAGGCTTGGCATGCGGGCCTGGCTCAAGCATGTCCCTTCACCTCGCCAGCCCCTTGCCCAAGCTGATTGAGCTATCCCGTTGCCCYTAGCGCACGGGTGTGTTCCGGCCCAAGCGGTTGCCYATCATCATGGCACACAGGTGCCTGTCATCATCGGCATACAGGAGACCCTTCACATCGGTGCCAAGTCACCTCATCGGCGCATGGTCGCCTTCCATTATGGTTGTCCCCCTTTAGCACGTAAGCAGCGCCTCCCATGGACCGGTCTGAGCTAGGAGAGTGCCCCGACCATTGGACTTGAGGTCATGATCCAGTGCTACTGACTTTGGTGGAGCCATCCCATCGGGCAACTCCTAGCCTCTAAGCTCATAAAGGCTTGTCCTGGCCTGCGACGCCGCACGGGTTTCTTCCGCTGTAGAACTACCCCGTGACAATGAGGCAACCTTGGTCCAAGGTGCCCAACCTTGACCCAGACCATGAGGCAATCCTTCACCCAAGTTACCCAACCGTGTGTTTTTCAATTCTGATCATGACTGGACGGGCCCAATCCATAACCAAACGCCATCCAAATTTAAGCCAAGAAAATGACTACACAGAAATGATGATCTAGGCATCTAGCTCAAAGTTGGATCTAGATGATCTCTTGGACCAATTAGAGCAATTCTAAAGAGCCCATCTGTGTACCAGTCTAGCGGTGCTGGTCTCAGTTCTACCCCCAGAAGAAGGGGTTTTTACAGTTTAGTCCACCCTTATAAATCTAGAGCTTCACGGGGTGATTGAATCCTGACCGTAGATTAATATCAAATTTACGGATAGGATGTGATTTATAGGAGGGGACTACAAATCAGATTTCGGGAATTGCAATCCAAAATTCCTAAAGAAAAAAAAAAGAAAAAAGCTGAGAAAACAAATTATTTTTTAGTAATTGAAATGGAATTGGAGACGTCTTAAGATCTTCATTTAATTGATAGATATCCAAAGGCAAAAGCCAATCAAACCTGAAAATGTCTTGGCATTCCTCTATCACCCAGTTAATGATCTTAAATTGGAAAAGATCCTACATACCTTTATCTGTCCTCACCAGAGATCAGACAATGAAAAAGACTAAAGATTGTGTTTGTCAGAACTCTGAAACTTCTAATGGCCGTTAGATTGTTGACCGCGATTGTCATTACATATATAGTTTTTTAGGAGGTAAGAATAAGATCCATGTAGGCCTAATAAAGAAGAGAAGATAATTATGATTTATGGTCCAGAATTTGGGAACATTCATCATTTCAATCCCCAAAATAAAAAAATGATTGCCAGATGGAAAAAAAAAATCAGCCAAGGTAAGAAAATTAGAAAACTCTGTTTTACATTTGTTTTATTTATTTATTTCTGACTGGTAGACACTCGTGAATAAAATTGGTCTCAGAAGGTGACAGAAACAGAGGTGGAGATTCCTTCCAGGCTTCCACATTCGATGATTGATCACAGTGATAACCGCTGAAACGCATATAAAAAAAAGCCCTCGAAACTGGGAGGATGATGTTGTCACTTGCTCTCTTCAATCTTCTACAAGAATTTTGATTTTGATGTTGGGTCTTGTTTATAGCTGGTGACTGTAGAGAACCAATGAAGATTTCTGGTTTTGCTTTTGGGAGTCGAGTGTGATTTACAATTTTTGGTCTGGGGTGTGGGTCGAAATCAAGACCCGGGAAATTCTGGAGTCGGATTCGGTGTTTAGAAGTTGAAACTTGGGAAACCAGTTAAAGGTTACGGTGAATTTTCTGCTATAAGGCTGAAACTTAGAAAGTTGGTGAAGGTCTGCTACTTGTTTAACAAATGCAGAGAGTTCTTCAACCAATGACAGTTTAGTAACTTTTTGAGGTGGGTTTATGGTTTTAGGTGCTGAAGTATAAACCTGTCATTTGAAGTTACTAGTTTTTAGAGGTGAGTGTTTTTAAAGCGGCTCAAGTTCAGATGGTCTCAGAGATTAGTGGCTTATTAATGGAACTTGAGTTCTAGGTGGTGAGTTTCAGACTACCATACAGGTTTTTCTGGCTTTCAGAGGTGATTTAAGGTATTGGGGATGTTTGATGGAAGCATGAGAATGTCTTTCCACACATTGAATTGCCCATCACATCTGGTAGGTAACATAAATAAGCATAGGAGCCTGTATAGAACCTGGCTGAATCCGGTTCTGGCTGCACAACCGTCTTCAACTCTCCCGCAGACTGATGACAGTAGTAATTTACTTGAATCAAAGAGGAGTTCTGTTTCTGTTTCAGCTCCTACTAGCAGTCAGACATCTGGTCCCTTGCTCAACCAAGCTAATACAGTAGGTATTATTGGAGGGGCATCAACTGTTTCTACTCTGACTTTCTTGGAAAAACTCATCTTTTGGAGTGCAAAGAATGGAGAGGAGAACCTCCCTTTTGTTGTCTGCAGTGATCCGGCTCTGAACAAGGAGCTTTCTTCCTGCGAAAGGAGTGCTGTTCCCTATCGTCATACCAAAACTGCTCTTTCCCAATTGGATTATACTACTGTTGTGGAGAATTTGCGGCATAAAAGGGCTTTTCTTGAGCACTCAGGCGCTCGTTGTATTGTTTTGCCTTGTCATATCTCCCATACATGGCATGAGGAGATCTCTGAAGGCTGTTCTGTACCTTTTCTTCATGTAGGTGAGTGTGTTGCCTCAGAGCTCAAGGAAGCAAACTTGAAGCCAATTGAGGCTGGGGGTAATTTGAGGATAGGGGTCCTTGCCACATATGCAACTTTAAAAGCTGGTTTCTATCAGGAGAAGCTCCAGAGTCAGGTCAGCTACTATTCAGTTTAGATCGTTTGGTATTTAAAAAGTAATCCAAATACTTAAATTAGTAGAAATATGGATTACTTATTGAAGATGGATTTTGGGTCGTGGGATATATTGTACTAAAAATTCAAAATCCAAAATCTGTACCAAGTTAGCAGGGTGGTATTTTCCGCATACAGTTTAAAACATTATGGATATGTTCATGATCAGGTCTTGTTACAATAGTATGTAAGCAGAGGTTCTCTTCTTCACACAATTGCATAGCATATTTGCTTAGACATAAGATCTACTTTATTTACAATACAGATTTATTGTTTATCCACTAAAAGTATCACAACTTCTTACTTTTCTTCTCCTTTTTTTCCTTTTTTTTTTTTTTTAATTTCCAATGTTTATCTACTATTGCTTCCCACTTCACACTGGTACCTTATCATTATTTTTGGCTTCATTGTGTTCATGTACTGAATGAATACTTAAAGTCAGTTTGGTTTTGCTTCATATGCACATTGTGGGTTTTATATCAAGGTTATTGTTGCCTATTTTCCCTAAGAGCATGAGTTTGGAGGTTATTCTTGTGTAAGTCTTAGTAGTCATGTTTCTCAAGAAGAGGTCTAGAAATAGGCAAACTGAGAACTATCACTGTAAATAATCTTGAATGGTTATTTGCAACTTTTTATTACTTTAGAAAAAATGAAATTTATGAAGAAATTTATTTTTTTGAATAATCACATTATGAAAATAGGATAATTTGATGGAACAAATAGTGTCTGTGCAGTTACAGTAGTTAGAATTTTGCAAGATTAAGATTCTAAAGTAGGAAGATTGCCTTGGTTTGTAAGCTCCTGCTATTAAGTCTTGGTTTGGGAAGAGTGCAAATACAAATATGTACAGTACAAAGGCAAGGTTTAGAAATACAATATACAAGGTTTTAAACTGTATGCATTTATATATGCACTCATCCCAAACTGAGCCTATGGTTCAGATTTGCAGCTAATTTTTATCTTTTTATGTATATTCAAATAATCTAGGATTAGTACAAATTGAGCTTGTCTTAGGTCGTGATAGATGTATTGGAAATTTTTATTCTAGGATGTGAAGTTTGCTTGGATATCCTGCCATTAGGATTCAGGTTTTCAATAATAAGCTTTGATTCAATTTGGATTGCACATCATGCAATCTTATATCTAACCTGATGCTCTCTCTCTCTCTCTCTCTCTCTCAGAGTCTGTTGTAGCTTAAGATTTAAACAAAGTTAAAATAATTAAGAAAATACTCAGTGTTAAAGGTGATGCTGTTATCTAATTAAGAAAATAATTAAGATTTAAACAAAGTTAAATCTTAATTAAGCTACAACCCAGTGTTGTAGCTTAAGATTTAAACAAAGTTAAAATAATTAAGAAAATACTCAGTGTTAAAGATGATGCTCTTATCTAATTAAGAAAATACTCAGGTAGTTCTCTGAGTGGAAGAATACTGCTAGTTATGAAACTCCTCCATTAACTCTGTTTAGCTATTTATGTTTAAATAGCATAGGAGAGCAAGAGAACACATATTCCAGGATATGCCGGATGTGACTATTTGAGGATGACACGTACAAGGGTGAATCATTCTAGTGTTGTTCAGGGTACTTGTTGTGTTCCTTTTTATTGTTATTAAGTTTCTCCAAGTTTCATTTCAAATTTTAGGAAAACAATCGAATTTCATGGGAATTACTGACAATTGAATGTCAAATCATTTGATAAGAATTACAGAAGTCAAAAGCCTTGTAACATGAACATAGTACAAGGTTTTGGGTATCATGGTGGACTTTTTCTGAAGCCTGAATGAACTGGATAATGTCTATCATGAATTATCCTGTGGCTTATAATTTTAAAAATTTGATTTGAAAGCTAAAATAGGTTTGGTGGTGTCTCATCCCCTCAAAATAAATAAATGGAGATCTTATGTTTTTTCCTTTTGTACATTTCTTTTTCTTGTTATCTAATCTCCTAATGCAATCAGCTTTGAATTAGTTGGATAGATATAGGTATCTTTTCTACTAGGAGATATGTAGAAGCAGTATTAGTCCCTCTGAAGGTTACACTGAGAGAATGTATAGGAGAGTCATAGATCAAATGAGATAATATTAAACATGATTGTATTGAAAGGATAATCCAAATAAATAAACAAAAATAACATACACACATGTATGATACTCCCTTACTTGCTTGATCCTTCTGCACATCCTAATCTCACATCATTGATTCCATAATTCAGATTACCAATAAAAAAAAAATCATAACTTAGATGCTTCTTGTGTCATCTGCAAGCTTGGCTCTTAAAATCTTCTGATTTTAACAATTTAAAACCAATGCCTTTTTGCTCCATAGAGCATAAATATGGTAAGTTATAGAATTCCTTAATGATATGTGAAAATATCATGTCATCTGTGTGTATATTTAACCGACTAGATTACCCTTAGACTAAAATGTAATAAAAACATTGCAAGTCCATAATAATTGCTAGAAGCAAAAATAGTGGATCACAGTTACTGATAAAAAAAAAGTGGATCTCCTATTTATCCCAGCAACACTGCATAGGGAGAAATTCCTTCCTTTGAGGTCTGGTTAATTATATAATAAACTTGAAACTGGAGATATTTTATATTCAAAATTAATTTTTTAATTTCTTAGTTACATGGAGAGTGGAGACTAATAACACGAGGAGATGGTGGGAATAGGGAAAAAGTCTTGTTGGATGGAAATTGAGAAAAATAAAGTTTTAAAATACTACATTGTCATGGATCCTGTCCCCCACTCCAAGCAGTGAAAAAAATGTAAATCAGTGTATAAACACATTTTACACCTACATGGCTGTGCCACAGGTGAATCAATTAAGTATTTTGCAAATTTCAGAAGCTTATCATTGTCATCAAGATTTCTTTGCATATTCATCCATAACCTGCTTCACCTGGTGAAATCCTATAGGTAAAATCTATCACCTATGGTTTGAAAAGTACAATTCCTGATGATAAAGGAGTCTACAGTTGAATTGTTTATCCACTTACAGTATTCCCCCACCCCCAACCTCCCAAGCAACAAAAGAATATATAGAATATATGGTCTTCATTTGGAGGAAATAGAAATTATCCCATGTCATATTTATCAGTTTCATCCTATTCATCTAATGTGCAGGGGTTTGAGGTTGTGCTGCCAGATAAAGCAACCATGGAGCACATTGTGATTCCTGCTGTTGAAGCTTTGAACAGGAAGGATATTGAAGGAGCAAGAAATCTCTTGAGAATTGCACTCCAGGTTCTTCTAGTGAGGGCTGTAAACACTGTGATCCTTGCATCTGATGACATGTGTGGTCTCTTACCTTGGGGTGATCCTCTTCTGAAGAAATGCATAGATCCAATGGATGCTTTAGCCAGATCAACCATCAAGTGGGCTCAATCTTATGGAAAGACGCATGTAGACACTTAAACTATACCTATGTTCTTTAAATGCTTGTTGCTGATAATTATGAGATATGGCTGTTATGGTGGGAAAATCTATGTATCAAGAAATCAGTTGTTTCATATTGTTGTATCAAACAAAGGTTATTATAGGCAGAGCCAAACCAAAGATAGCACACAGGCAAACTGTTTCTTCTCTGTACATTTGGGTAAGGGCCATTACCCCATGTTGGTCCTGTTTATAAGGGGTCCTTGGAGGGGTGGACTGGATGCAGACCTACCCTCCAGCATTTTCTTACATGTAGTGCTGTGCTGAGACTTAAACCTCCATTCTCATGGTTATCAGCTCAAAATCTAATCCTGTTCCACCACTTAATCTGAAGTGCAACTTTTCTTGTTATCTCTAGCCATGCCATACTGGGCCTCTCTTATCCTTCAGGACATTCTTCTTGAATAATCAGCCATAAGCTATCAAGAAAAAGGGCTACACAAGGCGTGGCATAGCTCACCCTCAAATGTCCCCAAAGACTTGGGGGAAATTTGTTGACCTTAATCGTGCTAGCCAGGAGGTTTTGACCAATACTAGCCAAGAATTCTGCCGCTTTGTTGCATTAATTATGAAGTATTATTCCCTATCTGCTCAGAAATCTTCCTCCAAAAGCTTTTCCCACTGGTGACTAGCAGACGCATTGCTACATTGCATCACTTTTTTTCTGGTGTGATCCTTGGTTTTCAGGACTCAAAGCCAACGGAAATTGAACTGATATCCAAAGTGAATATGGTGAAAGTGTTTCAAATAGTCCTAATGTTAGCATTTTTAGGTCTGCAATTTTGGGTGGATCTAACCAAGTCCAGACCGAATGAACCCAGAATTTTTGGTCCTCAAACTAGACCTGAGCCCAAAACCTTGGGTTTCTTCATTTTTCAGGCAAGCCGGTTCAGATAGGGTTAAGACCATTTTTAATACGTTGAAATTTTAGTCAGACAGGTGGGGCTTGAACCTGGGTTCAATGCCGTAAGCCCAGGTGTTAAGATTTGGCCTAGGTTGACCTTAAACTCGTCCCACCCCGAAATGATAATATCTTCATTTTATCTTTCCTTTGAAAAATCCAACTTACTCTTTAAAATATACAAGTTTCATTTACTGCCCCTTACTTTTTACAGTGCACTTATCCCTCCATAGTACAGAATTTTCAACTATTTTCTGAAATTTTGTTTTCTGGAAAACTGTAAATATTAAGACATTCTAGTCACCATCTGAATAAGGACAGATGGACTGTCAATTGTAAAGGACACTATTTTGGAACTCCAAAACCAACAAGATCCATCAAAACATTTCCTAGGTCTTTCTCCATAAAACCATTGAAAGATTCATAACTTCAATCACCGTGCATTCACTAATATTGGCTGCATGCTAAATCCAAATCTCAATGAATCATCTTTAAGGCTACTCAATTTTCATTTGTTCAAGTTTCACAAAGTATACTTTTGTGTTTGACAAGGTGTACTTGGTATCATGTTCAACCAAACAGTCTTGCTGCAAGGTGCAACAGATGCACTATAGATTTTGCCAAAAATCAATAGGCCATCAGTATTGCCATGCAACTGAAAAAAGACATTTGATAACTGCTGAAAGTGTAATAGAGAAAAGACTTCAAACTTAAAAATGGCTTAGACCCACAAATGTTATTGCTACCATATGGTGAAGTTTTAGAAAAGCCTCGTCGTTTAGCAATTAAGGAACTGTAACAGATGAAGTGACTGAATTGAATGTTTATTATTATTTTTTTGTAGATAAAGTTATTAAAGTAATATACTATTCGAGGTATAGTAATCTTGGATATGAACAACTTTTATATGTTGTAGATGATAGAGGATAGACATGTTGGTTAAGAAAAGTTATGTTAAAGAGGCATTCATCCATGCTTAGAGACGAGGATTTCAGGTTTCGGTGTCATGTTCAGCCAATGGAAATATACGAGTCACTTTATCAAACACCAATACACCAAATTCCAGTCATCATTTAGAAATATCAGTAAACAACAACATCGTCATCTATTCATCTCAATAGCACGGGAAGAGAATTTTAAGAATCACAAGAGAGAGAGAGAGAGGTCTTATATTACAAATTTGACATGGAGCTGGTTTGCTTAGAGAGAACCTTAGCACCTTCCAATGCATCTTGATTCACCCACGAAGAGATGAGATGGTGGGCAATGGCAAAGGGTCCGGGGATGAACATAGGAGCGAGTTCCCCACTTTCTACGTTGAAATCTGAAGAGAAGTTCTCGCCCTTCTCGACACCTTTGCACATCCGGTTTACCTTAGCTGCTGCTGTTTTCTGTGCCTTCTCATATTCAGCAAAGGTCAATGCTTTCCTCACATCTTCTCTACTGTGCCACTGGGCATCTGTTTTTTTTTTTTAGTTGGCGGGGGGGGGGGGGCGGGGAACATTGACAATGTCAGGCAAATAGTAAAGAAAAAGTATTTGTGACATGTTTCCAATATGCTTCAAATCTGTCTTCATTATTATGGTGATTTATGCCAATGATATTAGCATGCACAATATAATGTATAAAAGACATTAAACACACACAACGGCACAAAACTTGTAAGCCTACAGAAGCTTGTCTTCAAATACATACCCCAGATAAAAAGATAAATAATTCATTTTACAGTGCCAATCCAAGTATGATCCCATTGTGAATAGTTTGAAGTATAATTTTCCACTTCCATGTAGAATCAGTATGTCTTGACGCTTGATGTACTTGTCAGTGTCGCATGTATTCTCAATACAATAAATAACCCTATAACTGACCACAGTAAACTGTTTCATGTGTCATCAAGTGGACTTCAAATTGACCAGCCTTTAACCAAAAGAATTACAAGTAGCTGGAAAGCTATTTAAATGTTATAGATAACTGCCCCAGCAGGAAAAGCAAGAGGTTGGATATATCAACCTGATGACTACAATTCGTTTTTTGTGATACAGTCTCGCAACGGCAAGGTGACTTATGAGACATATGGTGAGGACCAATAAACTATGTTCACATGATCTGTTGGCAACCTTTATTCTTATTATAGAAAAATCGAAGGAGATCTCAATGGTTAGATTTCATTTTTTACAAGTCTCTTTATTAAGGATGCTATATTTTGTGTTTTTCCACGGGCAAGGTCTCACATCCTTGAAGTTTGTATTATTTGGTTCTAAGTCCAAACAGTTTTATGCTGCATTTGGCGTTCCTTATTTTAAGGACTTATCCCCTTTTTGCAGTTAAAACCTCAGTGTTCATAGGGGCATTTTAACTGCTAAAGGAGGTAAGTCCTTAAAATAAGGATTGCCAAATGCAGCCTTAGGCATATGCTTAGTTTGACTATTAGTTATTTACCATACAGATTTAAGAAAAGAAAACATTACTGGATACAGACCTAAACTTGCCTCTTATTTATTATTTTTGCACAAAGTGGCTGCTCTCAGACTTGAATACATTCTCATGCTTGTCAGCTGGAAATTTTACCATTACACCAAGCAATGGCCCCTTATTTACTTTATAGATGGTAATTGTAAATTATATATTACCCTTGTTTCCTCCTTTGTTCAGCACATTTTTCATATAAATCAGATTATCAGAAAAATGATAAAACAGTATACTATCATTAAGAATTCAATTTAGCATGTAGAAACCAAACAAACCATAGCAAATAACATTTTATCCAAAGAGATCAAATTACCTTCTAACTCTTCTTTGTCCACATGTATTTCTAAGGATTTTGCATATGCAAAGAATCCCACCATCAATTGGCATGGCATGCTATTAGGTCCAACTGAAGGCATTGCAGATTGGAAGAAGAAAGTCAGTTGAAATAAGGAGAGAGAACAAAAATACAATGTGTGTACAAGGAACATCACAGTTTGCAAAATGAGCATAGATACCAAAAGGCACTAGACAGCATATCACAAACCATAAATAGAAAAGAAACTAAAAATATCAACTGGCAAGTTTAGGAAATTAGGGGAAGGGGAGGGGGGGGTGTGTGTTACACAACACTCTGAACCGTAAATCCTTTTGTTACCTTGAAACAGTTACATATGACACATTAGGTTGCTACTTGTTGGTAAGCCACTTTAAGATGGCCATTCTTTCCCAAAAAATACAACAAAATCAAATAAATGCTACACAAATTAGATCATAAACCAGGGTTTTCTAAACATTTTTTAATGCAAGTATGAAGATATGTACAAAAAGGCATAAACAACATCTCTACACCTAAGACTTCTGAACTCATTAAAAACTATAATCCAAACCATCCTCCAATGCATCCAGTGGGTCTTAGTTGGGACTTTGGTTTCCGTAGAGATCTTAGGGATAATGAACTTCTGGCTTGTATGGATCTTCTATAACTCCTTCAAGATGTTTGCTTGGACCCTGGTAAACCTGATAAGTGTATTTGGGCCCCCAACCCTAAGGGTTTGTTTTATTGTGCTTCTTTGTTCAAGACTTTTGTGATTCCTCAGCTTCTTCCTTTCCCTTTAAAGAGTTCTGGTGTAGACCCATTCCACCCAAAGTAAGAGCTTTCTGCTAGGAAGTAGTTCATGGGAAGATAAATACTATGGACTTGTTACAAAAGAGAAGACCTAATTCCTGTCCCTTCCCTAACTGGTGTGTCTTATGCAAATCCAGTAATAAGAGTTGCCTTCATTTACTGATTTCCTGCCCCTGTGTTGCAAATATTTGGCTTTGGTTTTTTTCTTTGTTTTGGTACAGGTGGACTTTAACAATGGAGGTATATATATTTTATTTGATCCCTCCCTGTTTACTTGGCCAAAGAAGAGAGGAAGGATAATGTAGAGATGTGTCAGAGCAGCCTTGATTTGGACCATCTGGGAAGAGAGGAATGCAAGAATCTTCTCAGAGAAGGAAAGAAGCAAGGAAGAAATCAGGATTTGTGTGATGGTCAGGGTGATCCATAGGATCAAGACTCTGGAGTTGTTTTCCCAGTTTTCTTTGGATGATATTTGGAGGAATTGGAAAGCAGTTGCTAAAAGCTCTAAGAGAAAGGACAGAATGGAGGTTTTTTAGGTACCACCAATTGAAGGTTTTGTTAAACTGAACTTTGATGGGAGTAACCGAGATAATCCAGGCCCTTCTGGAATATGAGGGGTTTTGAGAGATGGAGAAGCTAAATTAATAGCACTTTTTTTTTCTGGCCTTGCGGGTACGGGTGACTCCCTCAAAGTGGAACTGCATGCTGCAATTCAAAGGGTGCAGATAGTTAGTGAGCTAAACTTGACAGATGTGGTGATTGAAGGGGATTTGAAAGTGGTGGTAGAATGGCTAAAGAATCCAGAGTCTATAATTTGGTGCTACAAGAGTGAAATGAAAAAATTTACATGGCTAACTAGGAATATGAATTTGAGGATATACAATGGGTGAGGAGATCATCAAATGGGATGGAAGATGCTTGGGCTGAGCAAGGGGTGAATGGGTCTATTTTATTCAGGGCACACTTCTAATGTTTTTTTTTTGTTTTTTTTTTTTTGTATGAGAGGTAGGCTCATGCCTCTCTAAGGTAGGGCTGTTCACGGGTCGGGTTGGGTCGGTTTAGTAGTGTTTTTTCAACCGACCCGACCTGGTCGGGTTACCTATAGACCAAACCGAAACCGACCCTCTATTAAGTAAAACCGACCTGGTCGGTTTGAATCGGTTTGGGTTTCAACCAACTCCAAGTTCGCACAAACACATGAAGTCAATATTATATATAATATTTTAGAATATATTTTCTGGAAATATATATTTAAAACCAAAACATATATACAGATATATCGAAATATATATTTTCTAATTTCTGGAAATATATATCTGATATATTTCAGAATATATATATTTTTAGATATATATTTATTATTTAAAACTAAAATATCTATACTTAACAGATTTTTTCAGAATATATATTTTTTCGCATAACTCGGTTCAGTTCTGTTTGTTCAGTTTTGCAACCCGAAACCGACTGGTAGTGAAGAAAAACTGGCCAACTCGGGTTGGGTCGGGCCGGGTTGGTCGGTTTGGTCAGTTTGGATTTATTTGTGAACAGCCCTACTCTAAGGGATGCTTGTAAAGATATTAAATAAAGTCTATTAATAAGATTCAAATTATTTATAAAAAAAATTATAAAGATTTTTATTAGTTCTCCAAACTACCAAAGATTCCCAGGTTATGTTCAATTGTCACCTATGTAATAGCTTAAAATCAGGCATTTTAGCATTGGTGGCCTGGTGATGGTATTAGGTGCCAGATATCCTTAATGGGGAGAGGGACATTCTCCATGATTCAAAAACCATTTTGGCCTAACTTGCTTAACCCAACAATTTACTACAAAATCAGGTCACCTAAATTTCAACATAGCATAAATGATATGCATGAAAGCATTAGATTCGATCAGAAAATCCCTGGGTGAACTCAAATATAAAATGGCAAACAAGTTTCGGTGAAAAAGGAGATTCTACCAAGAAGCAAGAAAATTTATGAAGCAATAATCTCATTTCTGGAAAAATAGTTCATTGTATAGACAAAAGAAAATAATCTAAGGATTAACTGTATTATGTATACAGTAATATAAGAGTTTGTGTAAATGTATATCCAAGTAGGCATTTCATGGCAACAAATTTGTAATGCTTCTAAGCTTCTCACATTTCCTAGGTTCTCTTCAGTATTTAATGAAGCAGGAAACCATGCTCACACCCAGAACACCAGAGTGACAGTCACTGCAATAAAAATTTCCAAGACCTTTGGTTCAATAATGTTGAGGGGAGAGCAGGAAATATTTCTTGCAAGACTTCCACTTTTCCATTCAAGGATTCGTCAGATCTAATAGAGAAATCAATGGAATAAAATCTATCCTCCCAATCAATGGCACATGCATTTCTATTTTACCATTCCCTTCTTTTATTCAAACAGTAAAAACCCATAGTTGGGAAGCTAGTAGTATCGCTAGTATTAATGGCAAAATCTACTGCCTGTTTTTATTCATTTTTTCTTTTTATTTATTTTGATGAAACTTTGGGTGTTTACTTGTTTCATAAGTTAAAACTTGAACACTTTTTGAGGAGCTAGTTTGGTTCAACCACATTCATTGTCCAGGAGTTGCTTTAGCTCATTACTCTCACCGATTAAAAGTTAAAACTATTACTTCAAATTTTACTCAACTCAACTCAACTAAGTCTTCTCCTAACTATGGGTTCGGCTACATGAATCCTTCCATGCCATTCTGCTCCGTTCAGTTCCATTGAAGAAAGTACTTTAAAGCATAAATAAACATTATTCCATGTCCACTTAGGTTTACTCACCAGATAACTACTTAGAAAACCAGAAAAGCTTAACTCCTCTTTGTTTTTTTTTGATAAAATAAATAAAGCTTGACTCTCATTCCTCCAATAACATTTTATTCTTATGCATAGAAGTAGTAGTTAAGGATTCCATACCCAAGGCACATGGAGGGCCTCATCTTTCAATTGCTTATGAAAATTTATACACTAAATCATAATTATTCACCATAAAAAGTACAACGAAAAGTGGAGTTTCAGAATCTGAAGAGGAAAGAATGAGAAAATGCTACAAAAAATAACATTTATGCCATTTACCTTGAGGAAAAAATTGTAAATCAAATTTATAAGGAGAATAATTTGTTATACTAATAAATGAAGTGTCATTTATCATAATGTTAACTTATAGGGGAAAAATAGTGAGTTTATGCTACTAAGTTGGATGGGCAAAATTGTCCTTGAGAAATCAGGATCCAACTATTTACTTTATGATATTCATATAAATCAATTAGAAATTTCTCCACTTTAAACCACCTTCTATCATGGTGAGTCAGTATTTATAATACCTTAACTCAGCATTACAATATTACATCTGCATCCATTATAATTTCAGATATACTATTTTCCAATTTACATAGACAACTAATATGTGCAGGGCCTCTTTTTATGTATTAATTAGTTAAACACCTACTCACAGGAGTGCAGATAGAAGGTATCCTGTAGTATAAACCCATAAGGCCATTATCCTATGTTGGTCCCAGCTATCTGGGGTCTTGAGAGGGATCGACTGGACATGGTCCTAATATATATGTATATTTCAGTCTATTCAATGTGCTCTTCCTTTAGCATTGACATAAAATACAGCAGAAAAACCAAGAACACATTTGACACAAATGGTACAAGAAAGACGAGAAGATACCAGGCCATGGCTGAGAACTATGATATACAACTTCCCCCACTTCAATGCCAGTCTCTTCCCATGTTTCTCGCCTCACTGCTTCTTCCAAGCTTTCTCCTGGCTGAGGAAAATATAAAGATTTGATCTAAATGCTTATGAAACCTAGTGGCTACCACTCACTTTAATAAGGATAACAATAACAACAGTAGAGTGAACGAGAAAAGAATAACAAGAATGATGATGATGATGATGGTGATGGTGATGAAAATGGTGATAATTATGATAACAACAATAATCTAATAAGGTGGTCGGAAGTCATAAGAAAGGCAGATACTGTCACAACCTAAATCCACGTAAGTGCTATCCCGCATACAGGATATCAAAGAGTACAACAGCATTTAGTGAATGATGCATTTGTACCAAACTGTCAATTTATAAATCTGCAACTTCTAATGGGCAATGAGGTATCAAAATTTAAAATATGAAAAAATATAGATTGACACTGGGACAGAAAGATCTGTCAAGAATGACTGCTGCTAAGTAAAGGAATAGAAACTAGTGATACTATGGAAGGAACAAAAGCTATGGCATGCCAGTATGAAAAGGATTACTGGAGATATTTGCACATATCCAAAAGCACATGCACATCAATTTCATGGTAGGAAAGGGGATTTCATTGAGACAATAGTATAATACAAGGTATGGCACACTTAATAAAGAATCACAGGTACAGTAGTGCAGGACAGTGATGAAATTATATGTGGCAAGGTGGATTTGTTTTTATCCCTCATGGGAAAAAGTGGAAGGTTCTCTCCCATCCACGTTGGATTAGCATTATAGGAAATAGCTTAGGCTAACCAAGGTCGTTTCATGGTCTGATCATTCTAAGCAGACTTTTCAAGTAGAAGAGACAGTTTTCAGGCTTCTTTTGTTTGCAAGACCCCAGTCCCCACCCAAATAGTCTTCTTGTAAATGGTATAACTGTATAAGTGGATTATGTTTTAACTGTTAACCATTTTAATCTCTGGAAAGAAAACCATAACAAACATGTGGGATGATGCACAAAATCTGGATCAACCAAGTTATATCAAGCATCATATAGATTTTTTTTTTTTTTTTCTGTTTCAGTTGTATCTGGCAATGCCAAGGAGACTGAACAAAGAGATAAAACAATGGACACCAAAAGCAATGGAGCCAAGAAGTAAATTCTTTGGACATCCTGTTTGTGGTTTGTTGGAATGTTTAGGAATCAGAGGATCTCCAGCATATTTGAAAATGCAAGTAGCACTGAGAGCAAGCTGATAGACCCTGTGCAGGATTCTCATATTTTTGGCCAGGTTTGAAAGCCTTCATGATTCTTTATGGGTTGGAATGAGTAATTTCAATTTACCTCCAAGATATCCTCATAAGATTTTTTTTTTCATTGTGGTCTAAGAGGCAGCAAGAAGGCAATTATTTTTGGAGCAATGTTCCTTCTGCAGTGGTTGGGGAATTTTGTAGGGGAGAAACAGAAGAGTTTCCAATAACCATTAGCGCTGTGAAAAATTATGCTCAGAGATAGGAAGCCTGATAATGGATTGGATCCTAATGCATCAAGAATTTGTGTGTACAAAGGACATCATCTAGATCCTGTTTCTGGTCCACCTTGGAAATACTGTCAGGCCTGTCACATTCACATGTGTTATAATGTTTTCTGGGATGATTTTGTAAACTTTCCTTTTGTACCTTCTGGGTTGGAGTGCCATCTCATCACCCTTCCCTATCTTGTATTCTCCTATTTTCATTAATAAAATATTCTTCTATTTGGTATAAAAATGTAATTTCAAGTTCTCACCTATAACTTCCGGAAACAACCAAGGTGTGTTAATGCAGTACACGGTTTTTAGTGTGATTTGTCTTGGTCATACCTTATCGCCTAAGTATGTATTCATCAATGCAGTCCTTTTTCCTTTTATTAAATTTCTTTATTTTTACTATAAAAAATGTAAAGATAAAGCATGTAAAGCTTACTAGTATTTACAGGGTTTCTATCAATATACCTAAAGCGTTATTACCTTATCTATAAAAAAGAATATTTAGAAAAAGTACACTATTGAACATTTTGCTATATCATTTCTATAAACAACCAAAAGAACCAAGACTATATGAACTGTCAAACATGAATTCATCTTAAGGTTAACCATACAAACCTCTATAAAACCAGCAAGGCAACTCCACATACGAGGTACAAATCTTGACTGCTTGCTCAAAAGTGCACGGTCATTTTCTCTATCTATTACTAACATGATGACAACCTGTTTGAAGCCATCATTCACTTCAGCATACCGGATTGACATATGAGAGAGAGAGAGAGAGAAAGAGAGAGAGAGAGAGAGAGAGTACTGGATCAACACGAGGATAAATTCTCTTCTTGCATGACTCATTTGGGCATTGCTTCCGCCTCCCAGCCTCCAAGGGGATAGTTCTCTCTCCACAGTTCCCACAAAAGCGTGATATGTTGTGCCATTCTATCAATGCCCTAGCCTGATCTAATGAGAACAAAAACAAGAAAGAAAAAGCAGAAGTATAAGTAACATGGGTTGCAGACAGTAACCCACCAGAAATAACAAATCCTTATTTTACCTTTCTTCAAAATATTCCTAAGAGTATTAAAAGGAAAGAAATTTCAAAATGGAATGTTTTTGTACGCTTTTCAGGAAACGCTATGAATTTAAACATAAAAACATAAATATACAAAAAGAATAATAATCCGACAGAATTAATGTTTAATGTCCATTGGAAATGAATGAATCTTTTCAGAATGGATGAAGAACTTGAACAAGACAAATTAGTCCCCCTGGGCTTCAAGTTGAGTAACAACTTTCCATTGAAGCATTTGCAAAGGATTGGACACAGGTGAGCGTCACTGCAGATAATTCTTACAGAATTGAATTTTGAGAAGCTAATAATCTACTCACTTAAATCAAGAAGGGCTTTTGGATAAAAACAATTTGTTAGTTTTACCATTTGTGTTTGAATATCAGTAAAACAGAAAAAAAAAAATAGTGATTCTCATTGCCAAACATTTGGAAAGATGGCAACGCAACTAGAGTTACCTGATTTTATAGTTTTTAGAAATTCCAAAGTAGGAAACAAGTAATCTTCAATAGAAACACAAGGAAAATAAGATAACAGACAGAAAATAGCATAACGTACATGACCCGCAATAGCCAATTGCCCCATCATGTAGGCATCAGCCCAGTCAGTGGCAACCATCAATGTTCGCAGCTCCACAAAGCAAAAACGTCTACCACCCGATTCAGAAACAGAGCCGCTCATGGTCGAGACGTCGATTGCCCAGTAGATGAGATCTCCTTCTGATCCAAGGTAAACGAACGAATCCTCACTCAGACGAGCATCAGAATCCGCCAAAAATCTCTTGCAGTCAGGCAAGCTTAACCACCCGAGATTCCAAACTGGGGTTGCATCGTTATTGGTATCCGAACAACAGGCCAAGGGCTTGCCTTTCCTGAAGGGCAAGACCTTAAAATTTTGGGAGGATGGTTCATGGGTACTCTCCAAAAGAGAAACTTTCAAGCTTTCAAGGGCTGAACTTGGAGAAAATGGGTCACCTGGTTTAGGAGTTTTGGATCTCAAAGGATTACCTGCGAATGCGTGAGACTGCAAATTAATAGACATGGTTAAACGGAGAGAGTATTTTCTCTCCCCAAGGTACAGATTTCGGGTTAGGGTCTGATTCTGGTTTGAGAGTTTCAGAGACGGAGACAAGAGAGTGAAGAAAGAAGAAGGGAGGGAGAGGTTCATCTCCCTCCCACGTCTACACACTACAGCGATAAAAGAAAATTCAAGAAAATGATTGAAGTTGAGTCCGGATACGCTGTACTTTTGTCCTGCACTTCCATCCAGTTTTTGACAAGCGTCTATGAGGTTCATGCATAACACGTGTAACCTGTAGATGTGTAGCGCAGCCGAACTCACAATGGTAGATTGGTAGGCTACGTGGCTTGACAATGCACGTGGAACCCAGTAACGGAGTCTTTTGATAAACAGCAAAACCTACGCTTTTGAGTTTTGAAGGTTCAATCGCTCAACTACCAACTAACCACCAACTACCTACCACCGGGAAAAAGTACCTACTACCGATTACCGACAGATTGAACGGCAGGAACCGGAGAGAAAAGGGGTTTCATTTCCGGTCAATTTTTAAAACATTGGAATAAGGTAGAGAGAAGGAAATGAATAGATAAAATTTTGCGATGGTCGTTTTGACGTGAAGCCAAGAAAGAAGTATCACCATTACACAGTAAAGATATCTTTCCAATTGCATACATAGGACTTTTAAAACAGATAGCCCTTTATCAATGAAGAGAAAGAATATAATGTAGGCAACCAGAGTGCACACTTGGATGCCAATAGAGAATTTCTATCCAAATGAATCTTCAAACTTAAATGAAGAAAACCAAACAAAAATATGGATGAAAAATTAGAACTACATCTCCCTGTTAGTGCCCCTCTCAAGCAAAACCAAAATTACTGCCAATGTCAAGTAAACAACCATAAAATATTCCCTGATTGTAAAGAAAATTGGTGATATAGGAATGTGAGCTTGCACATGCAACACGATTAGATGCAACATCAGCTCTCCACTTTGCTTGGTGAATTGCAAGCAAGCGGCAGATCATCAATCCAATCAGCATAGATGCGATTGATCTTTTCAGGTCCTTTCCACTTAAGCAAGCACTTCTTACTCTGCACTTGCTGCTGCTTACTGGTAGTACCCATCCCTGTCTTAGTGGGTGATACATCCTGGATAGGATTTGGAAGAGGTTTCGAGAGAGATCCACCTGCATTCCCTGATTCTGCTTCATTCTGGCCTCCAAACTTTTGTAATTCTGTGGTTAAGACAGAAATCTGATCAACGGATAGAATATCAAATCTCATATCTTTTGTACAGCATTCATAAACTTAGACGTGCGTTAATGCAGTCATACAGTCATTTACAAACTGTTTTAATCAAAAGATTCTCTCATTAATACATTGCTTGATGCTAAACTGGAATAGAAAGTGATACAATAATTAAATGTGCATGCATATGTATCATGTACAAGTATCCTCGTGGTACCCTATAGATGAATTTAACATGGTTCAACCTCATGCTTCAATTATTCATAACGACAGCTAGAAGTGTAAAACCTTCTAAATTGGCTACAATGGTTCAACCCAACAAGACAAGCATACAAACTATGTCAGGAAAGAAGAGAGGTCAATACATAATATGGAAAGTAGGTATTTGCCATGGTGACAATCAACAGGTAAAATGGCCCCAGACAAATGAAACTGCATCAGAATTGTATACTAAATCTTGGGGTTAGATATTCAGGACCCATTTGATGCATTTTGGGTACCCATAACTTGCAACATGTCCATATTCAGATGATCAGGACCCAAGATTGGAATGTCCAATCCAAAAATCGAAATGATCATATCTAACCATGAGATGAGATTGATGTACAGCCGCCTGGAGCTTCTTTAGAGTTGTAGCAAGACTCTCGACCGCCGTCCAAATGAATGTAGTAAACACATATTTGCAATCCCCGCTGTAACCTGGTTTTGTATTATTGATATCTACTTTGAGGCATTTAATAGTCTCTTGATCCATTAAACATATGTGATGCAGGAGAAGAAATATAAAAGAAGTCTTGTGCTGGTTTTCAAGGATTTCTTCTGCATTTCTACAACTTCAGGAATCTCACCCAACAAGGAGCTTAGGTGCAGAAACTTCTAGGAAGAACAGGGACCTGAGAGTTTCTTGCTTCCTAGAAATGGAAAAAAAAAAAGGATTTTCATTTGAACTGGTCTGAATTGAGACCCTAACGACGGGGCAGAGGCAAGAGCCTTGGCTTCAAGGAACATCTTGCACAACATCTAGGTAGCTTCTGATCCTCAAAACACAATGATTAGTTTTCCTGGGCATGATAATAAAGATAAACTAGAAGGTAATGCTCAATGACAACTCAATTAGTTACCAGGCTAAGAGTAAAATACCAATGCCAAAGCAAGCTGGGAAAACCCAAAACTTGCATCAGACGAAATGCAGATTTAGTTAAAAAGTTATTCAAACTCATACTGTAGACATGCATGATATTACAAGATCTCACCAGTGAAATGTAATTCATAACTATCAGAAAAACTAAACAAAGCTACAATCAATATGAAAGCAATGAAATAACAAGATCTCGACTAACATTATAATGAAACAAAATTGAACAAAAACAGAGTTCGGATACTGCTATATACCTGCTTGCCCATGAGCAAAATGACACTTGTCGCCAAAGGGGCACTGACCAGTCGTCTCCCACTTGTTACAGATCCTTGTCTTCCAAAATACAGGCTTTGCATTCACCCGGTTCACATCAAGACTGGAATTGCTGGAAGAGTGACCTTCCTGTTGATCAAACCCAGCACCATTATCCCCTGGAGATCCTATAGTTCCAATGCTTATTGCCGAGCTCTCCCTAAACCTCCCCGAGTCTTCCCTGAACTTCGATGGGTCTTCGTGAAGAAAATTGCATCTGTCCCCGTATGGGCATTCCTCACCATTGTAAAATTTCTTGCATAGCTTCAACTTGGTGATTATTCTCTGATCTTCATCCCAATTCCCGGCCCCTCGATCTTCCTCATGGGCGTGGGCAGCAACGATTTCCTGCCAGTTGGGTGGAGGCTTCCTAATATCCTCGATTCCATGGGCGAAGTTGCAGTTGCTTCCATACGGGCAGGTTCCCGCTCTGAATCTTGCACAGAGACGAGTTTTAAAGAAGATTCTGCTTATTCCTTTGTTAGCTGGCGGGTTCGGTGGGGGCATCCTCGGATTCGGAGGCGGGTTGGAAAAGGAACTTGAGCCTGAGGGGACATCGTCAGAACTTCTGGGCTTCTTGAATGGTGGAAACTCCATGGGAGTGGCGGGTTCTGGCTGTTCATTATCGACCAAGAGTTGAGGCCAGAATCCCATTGCATCGCCGCTGACTGGAAAGGGTGGCAAGAAGAATGGCGGGGGAAGAGCAGGAACACTCATATTGGTGGATATGGGATCCGTCGTAAGGCTTTCTGGTAGTAAATCAAACAGCCCAGACGAATAATGGAGCAGAAACACAGAAAGTTTCAGACACCCAGATGAGGAATTGCCCAGAAATTACAAATTAAAAAGAAAGTTCAGCCAAAACTACGATTCAGGATTTCGATTACAACACTTCGAAATCCAGTGGAAATAAAGAAATTGGTTGATTCAAAACCGAATACTTAAATCACGACCGAATTCGATACTCAAATCTGAGAGATATCCATATTCCAAAGACTCACGGTCACAGCTAGGAAGCTTACAGAAAGGACTGAAAAGTGAAACAAAACATCAAACCCAACCAGATATGAATGAATGTAAATCTGGTAAAGCTCCAAAACCCTACTTGTGCCAAAATATCGTTCGAATAGTAACCCTAGCGGCTGAACAAGAGGTCCCTAGCTATCAATGAGAATCAAGGCCAAGCAAAATCCTAATTCCGGTGCAACAAAACGGAGGGCTAAAACCGTAAACCGTCCGAAAACACTGGTTTCGTGCAAGTTAATACTTAATACTAACGAACCTTTTTGGTTTTGGGTTTTGGCCATCTTCCTTGAATGACTAAACTACCCCTCATATTGTTGCTTTCAAAAAAACAGAATCTGAAACTTGCGTCGGGGGTTGCTGCGAAAATTCTTGGATTCAGTTTAATCGTGCGGCTTTAAGTCAACCAAGAAGAGAATCGACCGCTTATATTAGTTTTTAACAGCTGTGAAGACTATACACCCTTGACCCTTCCCGCCTTGTGGTGGCACGTGACCAAACCACACCTAATAAATCGGGGGGCTGGAGAGTTCGGATCTGCTCCTCACAGAGCGCGCCTCACACCGACTGAGGCCAACTGTCTTCGATCGGGTCTTGTGTAACAAAGATTGAGAACAACTACTTAAGAAGGGTCCCACCTAAGAAATCAACCGTGCAAAAGAGATCAAAGCCATCAAAAGATTCTCGACCGTCTGATCTTTGTTGCATAGCCATCTTCAATGTTGCAGAGCCCAAGCCAAAACAGTCTTCATCCGGTTTATCTTATGCCCTAAATTAGTCGGTATAATGGCTGGTTTGTTACTGCCAGCATTTACACGGCCTGTGAGGGATTCGAGCGTTGACTAATATCAAATTAAAAAAAAAAAAAACAACGCTTGATCTTGACCATTCAAATTTTGCCACAAATCAAAGAAACAAACTTCCCAATCTTATTTTTGGCGGAAGCAAGGATTAAAGTTGATTAAAGTTTCGGTATCAAATATCGTATCGGATAACTGATACGGATATGGATATAGGTGCGTTTTGGAAACGTATATGATGTAGGTGCATCCAGTTGGGCTAATGGCGAGTCTACACGCATCAAGCGGCAAAGCACATAGCGAAACCAATTGGGTCGCAAGCAGAGCCGGTGTCAGTACCTCGTGCGGGACCAATCAAGGTGCACGCTAGGTTGGGCTTGGCAGGCCTCACGGAGCCAATCGCACACCCTCACCTGGCGCTCCCAAACGATTGTGCCCTCGGTATGGACTGCATTCAGGCCATCCAAGGTCACCCGCCCCTGGCGGCCTCAAGTACAAATAAGAGGTGACCCCCATAAGGTAAAAGATCCTAGAACTTAGCTCTCAAGCACTATTCTTGCTCTTTGAGATCTCCTGCTCTTTAGTGGCATCGTCTTTGGTGCCCGCACCCAAGACCTCGTCCACCTTCCACCTCCTGTTACTAACTTGACTGCTAGAGCCTCTGCCTCGGGTGCCAACCCGGGGCCTCTGACGAGCTCTCTCACCTCGTAGGATCGATCTACCCGCCCTTGGCCACCTCAGACACCTCGACTTCGGGCACCTCGTACCTCGGCTTAGGAGCGAACTGATAGTGCTGACCTCGGCCAATCCGAGCATCAACAATTGGCGCCGTCTGTGGGAACGCCGCTAAGACATCCTTCAATCTAATTTGCAATCAAGACTTCCTTCAACATGGTACGAAACACCAGGAATGCCCAAAACCTGGTCACCAACGAGCAATTCCAAATGGTCCTAGACCGACTGGACCTCTCCCGACGTGTCGGGGAGGCGTGTCCCCAGGCAAGAAGCCGCCCTCAAGGTGGTCGCCCTGCCTAGGCATCGGGCCAGCGGGGGCAGCACGTTTGCAGACCCACTAGCCCTCGGCTCTGTTGACTCCTACTGGGCTGAGCCCTCAGAACCTGGTAGCAGCCGACGTGCGAGCCAACCCCCTCGGCACGCAAGACCTCCCAACTGAGGGGTAAACAAATTAGTACGGTCTTGCAACCGATGCCGAAACTAAGGACATCGCCGCCAACAAGAAATGCCACCTCCACCTCGCACCTCGGACCTTCAAGGCTACCTTGACGACAGACGGGCCAAAAGGAACCGAGATGTAGCCGGCCCATCCCACCACTGAGGAGAACGAAAGGAAGTCGAGGTACCCGCCGGCCAGCAGATCGCCGATATAAAGGCACAACTCGGTGCGGTGAAGAGACAAACTTCGATCCAAGGCACACGACACTTGGAGGTCGTACGCCTAGTCGCCGGGTCCCCCACCTCGCTCGATAGTCTGGCCGCGGTATACAACCTTTGCCAAGGTTACACGCCCGGACTAGACGTTGAGCCAAGGCATACAACCCACTGGAGGTCACACGCCTACTCATGCCTCTTGATAGGGAACCTATTGGAACTCGGCCGCAGCCGACGAGTCGGCCATTGATTTAGGCTTCGGCCTTGGAAGAGGGCACCAACCCCTACACAAGAAACATAAGAAGAAATGTAACCGCAAAAAGGCACAAGATACACAACTTGGCGACCTCTTTGGTAGCAGGCGGCCACCTCGGCTCCACGACAACACGACAAGAGAAAGAGGATGGTAACCCCAACTATCCCAGCGGTTCACCTCACTATGTGACACCGGTTACCTCGAGGTCCACCTCGGCCTCGCCTAAGGGAATAAGTGAGGTTAATTTCCTAAAGCGAACGTCTAACGAGCCACTTTGGGTTATTTTTTGTCTACTTGTGACCCTTTTAGACAAGCACAAAGTATATGAAAAAACGCTCATCTCATTTCACAGTTCAGCTTACAAAATTTTTGGCCCACAATGATGAGCACATTTATGACAGACAAAAACAAGAACTGAAGTTGGCTAGGCCTCGCCCTCCGTTGGAGAAATGGTAGGATCCTTGACGCCCACGTTTGCAACCTCGATGGGAACCTCGGCCTTGTCCTCAGGGGTGAAAGAGTCGGGGAGCACCTGCAACTGGTCAATGGGGAAGTCTGACGCCATCTTCAAAAGAGCCTTCTTGGTGTTGTCAATCCCCTCTAAGTAGGCCGCGGATCCATAGTGCGCCAGGCATTGTTGGTACTCTGATGTCTGCTGCCAAACAGCGACAACGTCCCAGTATTTTGTCTTAGCCTCAGCCTCTGACCTCCTCAACTGATTCTCGGTCCTGGCAATGAGAGCCTTTTCGGCCTTCAAGTCATCCTCCAGTGTCCGCCGGAGCAGTTTCTCCTCCTTTAACAACCCGAGGGTCTCATCTCAGCTGCTCTTTGCCGAAGCAATCCGCACCTGAAGCTGTTTATTCTTCTTCTCGAGCCTAGCTGCACGCTCAAGAAGGAGGCAGATGCGGTCACCGAGGCTGACATAGTGACGACAAATCTGCACCAGGCACACCATCAGTAAAGCTAGTAGAGTCTAGCAAGTAGCAAGTCAAAAAGAGAAGGAAACTCACCTCAGCCAAGAAGTCCATCCCCTCGTCGACGATAGCAACAAGGTCCGTCTACATCATGTCTAAGTGGTCCCCCAGAGGGACCATCCCCTTGACCAGGGCCCTGTTGACGCCCTCGGTATCAATGGAGTCCCCCTCGCGGACTCCCCACTTTGGGCGGTAGAGACGGTTCGGGCACTCCCCCCCTTGGCAGGCTCGGAAGCGGCGGGAGGAGCAGATGAGGGCCCAGCGGAGGCCCCCATCGTAGGCGGTCTCCTCGAAGCAGCAAGAGCCCCCTTCCTCGGCACACCGCCCTCGACTGGGTTGTCCTTGTGCGCAGGAGGTGCCGGTGGCACCCTGGCTTGCCTTTTCTAGCCAATCTTCCTTGGTCAATCCTCCTCGGCCATCTTCCCTCTGTCGCCCCCACTAGTGGGGGCCTGTGGACATGGGGTCCCCTTGGCAAGCATGGACCCCCTCTCCACCCTTGCAGGTGGCACCATAGCCACTCTCCTTGGAGTCTACCCCCTCGAGGTGCCCTTTGCCTGGCCCTTCTTCCTGGCCAAGGCGCCCTCCAGTAGTAGTCTCTTGAAGTCCACGGGCATCTCTACAAGAAAAATAGTACCAAACAACATGAAGAAAATGAGGACGACGGAGATGAAGGCGAGCAACTGAAATCGAGGGCTCTGGCAAAGCAGGAAACTCTTGGAAGCGAAGGCACTAGTGAACAAGTGATAGCCGAAGCCGAGGCCGCCCCTATTTAAAGAAAATGGGTGGGATCCAACGACTGACGAATGTCCGCATTTGCTACCCGTTCGCTGACCGACACGCGTGGCCTACCTTGGCTAGACAAAATGATGCCTGGCGAACTAAAGCACCTCCTCACCGTGACTCATTGGTCCGCCCAACTGTGCTGACTCAGCAAAAATGCGGTTCGGTTCACCTACGTCTCGTCCTCCCTATGGCGACGACTCAGCAACCCGTTGAAGGCTCGGCCCCCAACTCGCCAATTCGGGGAGTGACCAACATGACCCGTGTTTGAGCACTCTTCTTGCTCTCTGAGATTCCAGAACTTAGCTCTCAAGCAATCTTCTTGCTCTCTGAGATCTCCTACTCTTTAGTGGCCTCGTCTTTGGTGCCCGCACCCAGGACCTCATCCACCTTCCACCTCCTGTTACTAACTTGACCGTTGGAGCCTCCGCCTCAGGTGCCAACCCGGGGCCTCTGACGAGCTCTCTCATCTTGTAGGATCGATCTACTCGCCCCCGGCCACCTTAGACACCTTGACTCCGGGCACCTCGTACCTCGGCTTAGGAGCGAATTGACAGTGTTGACCTCGGCCAATCCGAGCATCAACAGTATAAATACAGATGAAAAAAATGGAAACGCATGGATACGTTAGGGAATTACATACGAATTTTATAAATATATTAATCACACTAAATTTAAGATCAAAATGATCACAAAATAGTATATAAATACATAAAAAATGTAGATATTAAGGATATATATGAAGAAATATATTACAATTAATGAACCGAGATGCATAATTTTCAATCAAGAGTCCAAGACACTAAACATATGCACCTATTAATTTTAATTATTATCTCAATTATTTTTTATTTTACTTTTTTAATTTTTTAGCATTAAGAAAAGGTCAACTAAATATTAAATTTTCAAGTCCAAATTAAAATATCAATTAATAATTTATAAAAATATAATCTTAACTGAAAGTATATCAAATTTTTTAAAA